CACCAAAGGGACCTCTTCTGCCATTCCTACTTCTAATATAGATGGGTTTCATTTTTCCCTTTTCAATAAACATTAATTGTATTTGTATGAAATATTCCGATGCTAGAATATTCATACTGGCGATGTCGAACAAGAGTTTCTCTTGCTCTAGAAAAACCAGAGGGAAAACTACTAGAGTTTTGGGAACAATAAAAACTAATAATCCATTCCTACACTATGCAATTTTTTTTAATAATTATAGTTACATTAAGCAATGTACGTATACTCATTAAGCATTCTTTCTGAGCATCTTCTGGCATGTTTTGTTCCTTTGTTGGCTCTTTCTCGCTGTCTTTATATGTTAGTAAAGCCGGCGATTCAAATTTTAAGCAGATTTTTATTTGTTATGGCACTTAATTAGGGAGCATACTACATATATAGTAGGACTTAATTAATTGGGGAAAAATGCATTTTGAGTGTTCCACGTATTTTTTTTAGTATTTATCAAGGTAACTTTACATTAGTTAATATAAGATTAATACTTAATTTCATCAACACAATGCTGAATAGTTACTCTATTAAATGTGCTGATCAGAATTTAATTCTTGCATGATATGTATTTTTTTAATATGTAAGAATTGAATTTGGTACAGAAGAATTTGATGTGTGTATGATAAAATGTTATGTAAAATTTACTTCAGTAAACTTACACTTCAAAGAAATTGGTAGAGAAATATTATAGATTAAAGGATGAGAATAATTTTAATATAGTGATGTTATAAGAAATAGTGAATGTATGGGCAATGAAAGAAAAATTACATTGTGATTCAATACACAAAATTATCATATAAGTTTATTAACTTTAATAATATAGTAAATTAGACTATATATTTTTTTCCTGAAATTTTGTGAGCTCGTACAATTTTTTTTAACATTTACAAAACCCTCTCTCGTATAGGAGGATACATGTAATATTATTCAAACAATTAAAGAGAGTTAAGATAATGTTTAAGGGGGTGTTTAAGGGGGTTTTGTGAGATGGGTAGTAAGGTATTCGTCTTGTCAGTTAAAAATTCATCATGTATCCACTCTATACTTGTGTGGATATCGGTTAAGTGGGTATCCGTGAATTTTATAAATATTTCTAGATATTCATGGATATTAATAATTTTTTTTAAAAATTTAAAAAAATATTATAAATAATTTTAAGCCTATATTTGATATTAAGGATATTGAAATATTAAAGATAAACAATTGATATTAATTTTTGAATTTGTAATTAATGATATTTTTTTTTTGAAATATTAAAAATAAGAATATTTAAGTAATATTATTTACCAGATACCCGCGAATATGAATACTACTACAATCGCCTTTGTCACGGTTTATAAATGGGTAAAAAGATATTTGTATCCATTATCTGCGAATATCCATTTATAATTTATAAAATATGTATAGGGTCCATTTTTTAATATGCATATATATAATTGTATTATAATTTTATGCTATGTTAAATAATTATTATTTTATATATATTTAAATATAAAAGTTTGATATAATTAAAGTTTTGATATCTTTACTGTTAATTTTTTTTCCTTTTATATTACTTGCATAAAAGGCTAAAATGCATGTTTTAGGGGGTGTATTGAATTAGGATGTTAAAGGATATTTTTAGTTGAAAAAAGTCTTGTGAATTTTAAAAAACTTTGTAGGATTTTCATGATTTTTAAGATTTTGTAGGATTCTACAAGACTTTAAATCAAGATTTTAATAGATTTTGCAAAACTTTTAAGTCAGGATTTTAATGAATTTTGCCAGACTTTAGACTTTGCTGAATTTCGTGAAATTTTGACATATGATAAAAGTTTAAGATTTTTTTTTATACATTTAAATTTAAAAAGAGTCAAAGGCAAATTTTTTAAATTTTTTAATTGCTTTCAATTATTCACTCGCGGAGAAATATTTTTATTATTACATTCTAAGATACCACAATGTCTTATGTTAATTTCCTTTTAAAAATATAAAAAAAATTCTAATTTCACAATATAAAAAAATTCATAGTTAAAAAAAATTGTTCAGTCATAACAGGAGGAATTATAATAGTAACAAACTCAAGGGAGGAAGAGAGGTCGTTGTTTTTGTGCTGAAAGGGTTCTTCCTCCAACTAAAATTCATTTTCATCTCATTCTACTTACATAAATCCTAACTCAAATTCATTTTATATATATATATATATATATATATATATATATTGTTCTAATAAATCTAAATTGATTACAAGGTCTTGAAGTATCTACAGTTGATTGTAAAGATCGTGATATCAATTTCAGCTTTCACCTTTCATTTTTCTTGATGTGTGTTATAAAAAATTACTACTTAAAAGTTGAAATTTCAAGCATTTTCTTTGCTATATATTTGAGGAACAAATTCAACTAAATATAACAAAATAAAAGCAACTCAATTAAAGAGAATGGATAGAAAAATAAAGCAAGTCAATGGTATTGTCATTTACGTACTAGAGTTTCACCAAATAGAAAAATGGAATGAGAACAGTAGTACAATACTATATATAAACAGTAATATAATATTATTAGTAGAGAAAAAAATGAAGAAGACAAGAACATAAAAGAAAAAAAAAGAGATAAAAAACTTACTTGAAAATTCTTGAAGCACTTGAAAAGTCACTTCAAACAATCTTCCAAATTTTGATGGGTTTGGATGAGATTGTTTTATGAATTTGGTATTTATAGATACTACTAAAAAGTCCTTCAAAATCCGTCTAATACAACAATCCTTTAAAATTCTTATATTTTTGAATACCAATGGATTGTTTTTAAGTTGTCAAAAGTCTCAAATAATACTAATGAATTTTAATGGACTCTTTAAAAAAATGTTGAAAATCTAGATTGAATATCACTGGATTATTTTTAAGTGACATAAAATCTTGATTAAATACCAATAAGCTTTTTTACTTAAGAAAAGTCTTTTAAAATCCTATGAAATCTTAAACCAATACACTCCCCTTAATCTCTAAAAAAAGTTGTCTTATTTTGATTATTTTAATTTAGAGATACACCAATTTTAGTTTTCAAAATTATTCATATAGCACTTTATAATAAACAATAGTATGAAAGTAAATTAAATGAAAAATATAGTACACATTTTAAAAAAAATTTAACATTATTTTTTTAATGTAACAAAATATATTATTTTTAATTAAAGATTTAATACATTATTTGAACTCCAAACCTTTAAGAAATCTTTAGTTATCTTTATGGTTAGAAATTTGTTTACAAAATATGACATGATATTTTTTTATATCGTACATACACAACCGTATCAAATTAATATTCTATGTATCATCATCCATAAATAACACATTTTAATTTATTTATAAAAGTTATTGTAATCTCCTTAATTATAAGAATTATGAAATAGTAAGAAATTTTAAAAGATTAAAATCTAAGATACATGGATGATAATATAAAATAATAATATAATATGATTGTCTGAGTACAAGGATATAAAATAATATTTTTAGAGACTAAATTACAAAAATATAAAAAAATGAAAGACTCAATTACATTTTTTTAGTTTAGGGACCTAATTAAAATTTTTCAAACAAATTAAGGCACTAAATAATATATTAAAATTTAATTAAATCATATATATTTTAATGTTATAAATGTTTAATATAAAGAATTAAAAATTGATATTCATCATTTTATCTAGGACTCATAAAATGTCAGACTAACAGCGCGCACACGTGCGCGCACACACACTCAGATACACTCTTTTATAACATCTTATACTCACTTCATATGTTGTATAAGATCTTAATACCTTCATATGTTGTATAAGATCTAATTACCTAATTCACCAAAATTATGAAAAATAATTTATTTAGTTAATAATAATAATTCTTTTTATATATTTATTTCCCCCTCCTAAAACTATCCTTATACTATTTATCTTTCTTAATCAATATTCATATATTTTCTAATCAATTAGAATGCATATTCTATATTATTTATCTTTCCTAATTAACATTCATATTTTAATGTAACCAATTAGAATGTATATTTCTTAAAGAATTTATAATTAATGTATTTTATTAATTAAAAAATATATTTTAATTAGAGATATTTTAGTTTAAACAATAATTAATATATAATAAAATAATATGAATTAAGTTTTATATAAAAATAAACAATTATTTTGAGTTGTGTTTTATAAATAGAAATAAAAATAGTAATTAATTATTCTTTTGTTGACTTAATAAATTACATGTTACTATCTATTTATCTCTTTATTGACCGTGTCTTACATTCTTGAAGAGCTAAAGACCGAATATTTGTTGACTTAAAAAATCCAACTATAGCATTAAATTTGAATCGGGTTTAATAGCAAGCTGCTGAAAAATCTCATGTTTCACTTTTCTATGGGTTGTTCCAATTAATTGGTGGTAAGTGATAAGGACTTTAATGAGTTGCGCGCAGTATATATTACAATGTAGATTGTGAAAAAAGGTTAGATGGAAAACGATGGATAAACCTGAGAGCTTGAGTTAGTCGCGCCCCTAGATAGAAATTTAAATTTTAAAATTTCTACTCATTCGGTTTAATTCACACCACAGTAACTATAGCAGGATTAAATCTTAAAACTCTCTTACCATATGCATAAGGTGCTAGCTTATCTCCTGAAAGGGGCCAAATAGAAAGCTACAAAACGGGTAACATTACTTTATTACGGAATATATTATGGTATTGCAACCAATCAGTGTAAACAATTCATAAGAAATCCCTAAATCCTAGGAGGAACATGTTTCGGAGATATCTAAATAATCTCTATGCTTGTATTTCTGAATTTCCACAGGGTAACGTAAGCTACATATTCTTATGTTTCTAATGAAAATCATCGAAGTTAACGTTCTACGAGGAAATAACCACACGTCAAAATCCGTGAGACTTTATATACTAGCATCACATGGAGGAACGTTTTTTCAGAGCGTTGTTGAATATCTTTAGAAAGAAAAGAAGAAAAGATTGCATAGATTTAATAGAGAGATGGCCCCTCCTCTTTATAGTGGCTTCAACGGCGAAATCGATGCTGAAAACCCATCTTTTTTTCTTGATCAATGGGAAACGGTTCACCCTGCCCCTGTGTATTATCATCACCAACCCATTTCGGAGAACATCACTGATGATTCTTCGACGTTGGTCCTACCCTCTTGCGATGGAACCATCAGGGATAACAAAAGGGTGAAGAGAACCGTGGGCATCCCCGTTTGGCTAGGAACTTTTAGCACTTCAAGCAGCAACATAAACAACCCTAGTTTCCTCAACAGCAACACCAGTAATAGGAATAGGAATAGCATACCAAAGCTTCATTTCAGAGATCACATACGGACTTACACTCAGAGATATCTGGCAGTAGAAGAGGCAGAAGAAGAAGCGAAAAGTTCAGAAAGTGGTGGAAGCTGTGAAGAAGAAGATGGTTGTGCTGATGGAGTGAGGCTGGTTCAGCTTCTAATAGCTTGTGCCGAAGCAGTGGCTTGTCGTGACAAATCACACGCATCAATATTACTATCCGAACTCAAAGCCAATGCTTTAGTATTCGGCTCCTCGTTCCAAAGAGTAGCATCATGTTTTGTCCAGGGCCTCACCGAGAGGCTTAATCTGATTCAACCAATCGGGTCCGTGAGCCCGATGCCCCCCATGATGAACATCATGGACGCAGCCTCGGAAGAAATGGAGGAAGCATTCAGGTTGGTTTACGAGCTGTGTCCGCACATTCAGTTTGGACACTTTGTGGCTAATTCCACAGTATTGGAAGCCTTTGAGGGTGAGAGTTTCGTCCATGTCGTGGACCTGGGCATGAGCCTAGGTCTACGACATGGGCACCAATGGAGAGGACTAATCCAGAGCCTCAGCAACCGCGCAAACGGCGAACCTGTTCGCCGCTTGCGGATCACGGGAGTGGGGCTCTGCGAAAGGCTCCAAACCATCGGTGATGAACTCTCCGTTTATGCAAACAACTTGGGCGTTAACTTGGAATTCTCATTAGTGAGAAAAAATTTGGAAAATTTGCAACCTGAAGACATAGAAGTGAGGGGGGAAGAGGTGCTGGTGGTGAACAGCATTCTGCAGCTGCATTGCGTGGTGAAGGAAAGCCGCGGAGCTTTGAATTCAGTGCTGCAAATGGTTCACGGGCTTGGGCCGAAGGTGTTAGTGATGGTGGAGCAGGACTCGAGTCACAATGGTCCCTTTTTTCTTGGAAGGTTTATGGAATCGCTGCATTACTACTCTGCTATATTCGACTCGTTGGATGTTATGTTTCCGAAGTATGACACAAAGCGTGCGAAGATGGAGCAGTTTTACTTTGGTGAGGAGATAAAGAACATTGTGAGCTGTGAGGGGCCGATGAGGATGGAGAGGCACGAGAGAGTGGACCAGTGGCGAAGGAGGATGAGTAGGGCAGGGTTTCAGGCTGCGCCTGTTAAGATGGTGGCTCAGGCAAAGCAATGGCTTCTCAAGAACAAGGTTTGTGAAGGGTACACGGTCGTGGAAGAGAAAGGGTGTTTGGTTCTTGGGTGGAAATCGAAGCCTATTGTCGCGGTTTCTTGTTGGAAATGCTGAGCTGAATCTTAAATTAAAGTTTGATATATCAATGTCAATAAATAACAGTTTCATGCATGCATGAGAGGGAGCTGTTGTGTGCTTGAATAATATGTTTTCGTACGCCCGGTGTGGATTTGACCCAAATGGTGTTGTTCAACGCACTAAATATTTGGGTGAGAATAATTTTTCTTTCAGATGAAATAAATTTATGACTTGTTGTTTTGTGTGCATATATACGGCGACGTGTGAATTCCGAAATTTCTTTCTTTCTGTTTTCTAAATATTAATAATATTACTACTGCTCCTAAATTTTCATCCTATGGATAAAATTATAAGGATAATGCTATGACATAAATTCACACAGCTTATTTTACGTAATAAAGGGAAAGATAGAAATTTGATGAACTTTTTTTCTATCTGAAGGTGATTGAGTAGGCGGAAACAATGAGGAGCTTGGGAAAATATTGCTTGCTGGTGTTACCATTCCTACATCAACCCAGTGCTTTTGCCATAGAATTCTAACAAATTAAGTTGCCAAGGAGCCCAAAAATCACCCGAAAAAGATTTTCAGTTTTACATATTTCCTCGTCATTTTGTACATCTAATTTAAGTCCCTCTAACGAAATAGATAAAGAAAAAACAATGTGTTTGTATCGCACCAATTCAGATCTCATTGTTCCCTATGTTAGGCTTTTATCCATGAACGAAATGTGTTTTCTGTTAGTTTTATTTAGGGGTGGGCAAAAAAAAACTGAATTGAACTGAACTGGTGGTGAACTGAACTGAACTGTACTATAAAAAATTGAACTGTTTGTAAAAAAACTGAACTGAACTGTTTAAAAAAAATTGAACTGAACTGAACTGTTGGAAAGTTAACTGTACTGAACTATAAAACTGAACTGAATTATAAAAATTGAACTATTTTTATAAAAGGATAAAAATTAAATGTGTCTAATATATTATGTCTTAATTAATTAACTCGATAGTTTAATAACCAAAACTTTAGGGAAAAAAAGTGATAAAAAAAAATTGTATCAATTTTGTCGAACCTAACAGATCAATTGAGCTATGTTGGACTACTTATTTTTAGGATTAAAATTCACTGAGTTTGTTTGACTTAATTTTATATTTTTTTTTCTTTGAAAAATTTAAATAAAATGGAAAATAAAGTAAAGTTGGCAAATGTGTCCTATTTTGATAGATTAATGAGTCAAAATTGTTTAATTCAAAATATCATTACAATTCAGTGCAGTTTAAATTGCAGTTCAGTTCAAGTTTTTATAGTATAGTTAAGTTCAGTTCAATAACACAAAAAAATAGTTCAGTTCAGTTCGTTTGAACTAATATTTAGTTTAGTTCAGTTCATGAGAACTAGTTTTAAGTTCAGTATAATTTTTATAAGTTCAGTTCAGTTCATTTTGCCCACCCCTAATTTTATTGCTCGAATTTCTAATTTATTCTTCTTCGTTGCACAACGATAATATATAATTAGTTAGATATTTAATAAGTGTTAAATATCTATATATATCCTATATTACTTTTAGTTCAATGTAATTCTATATTTTTAGCTTGTGCAATCTATCTATTCAACTACTAAAAGTCAAAAACACTCTTTAATGTCATAGTTCTAGAAAATGATATTTTTGTAATTTTTTAAACTTTTCTAAGTTAATCCTAAAATAACTGGCATAGATATTCTATGCTCCTAAAACTGGCGTAGATAAGTATATTCTATGCATAGTTAGAAATTTAACTAATGAAAAGTTAATATTTTACATTGGTTGTAAATTTAACCAACGTAAAATGGCTTTAATACGTTAATAGTGTTCAGGTTTTTGGTTTATTCTTCTTCGTTGGGCCGTTTGTTTTCTTCTTCCTTATTGTTGTTACTCTTCCTTTGCCAGTTGCTACCTAGACTACTCTACTTTGTCGTTGTTCTCTCTGTTTGTTGTCGCCATTCATTTGGTGCTTCGCAGCTGCTGTTGTTGCTGTTGCCTCATTATTGTTTTTGTTTTTATTTTCCAAATCTAGTTGTAGTTCTTGTTATTATTTTCCAAATTTGTTTATGGTTCTTGTTTTTATTTTTTCAAATCTAGTTGTGTTGGTTATGAGTGGGAGGAGAGAAGGAAACAGGTGGGGTTGTAAAGAGGAGGATAATTATAAAATCACACGGTTACAATGTTATAACAATGTCTTAAGAAATTTCAAGCGTGTGGTTCAGTGGTAGGGGTTGATTCACGCTTAAGCAAGGTCAGGAGTTCGAATTCTGCCTTGTGTATCCAGCCGCGTTAAATCTTGGGGTTAAATCTTGGGGTCAGCTATCCCACCATTTGAGGTACCTCCAACGTAGCGAGTAGATTAGTCACTGTTATCAGCCTTGGATACTCCAAGGACAAAAAAAAAAAAAACAATGTCTTGAGAATGTAAAAGTACTATTATAATCTATAATTATATAATTATAATAAAAAAAATTCAATAAAATTTATATGCAATATTATAAGTATTGTTGATGTTATTCTATATTTAAAATTTGAGTTTTACTCGATAATACACATTCATATTTAATAAAATCTTTTATTAAGCATTTTTAAAGGTAAAATTATAATTCTAATTGGAGAAACATCAACAATGTCTATATTTATGATATTATATCTAAATTTTGTCCATGTACCTTTTTAATTCTACTTTTAATAAATTTTTTGCTCTTTAACATTGTGTTTGGTGCATACAAAATGCTGCAAGAATAGGAAAGCAAGAGTCAAAAAAAGAGACGAAAAATATTGTTATATGTTTGATAGAGTTAAGTTTTGACAGGTGAGAAATTTACATATGTGAGTCCCATATACTTTTTATCTCTTTACAAAAGTGAGAGGAAATATTATTGAAATAGAGGAGAGAATGTGTGAGACATTATTATCCCGTGAGTTTATATGTGAAAATACCTACAAGGAGACAAGCTCTTCTACCAACTTGTGAGCTCCCATCAGACACACTCAAGTTGTTGTCTACCTCCAATCAACTTGTGGTTTGCATACAATTTTCATCTACCAAGTAGCTTTCAATCATACCAATTTTGTTTCTTAGTGGCACTATTTAAGCTTAAATAAATTTCAAGTAGTTAATCTCATTTGGGTTTTAAAATGGTGGATTTGTACCTGAGACACCATAATCAATTAAAACATTTGGTTATGATCGTTGATTTAATATGCACGACATTCAATTGTGTACAAAGGGTGTTTGATTTGTATTCAATTATGCAAGCCTTTCATTTGAATGTGTAAGTTTTGTTTTTAATGTGCACACATGCAAGGGGTGTCTGATTTGTATTTGATTATGCATGTCTTTCATTCGAATGTGTAAGTTGTGTTCAAATATGAGTTTGACTGTATTTGATTACAACAATTTTTATTTAATAATAAGTTTATTTAAACTCACTTTATTTAATAATAAATATTTTATATCAAATTTTATTAATTTAATCATTAAATTAACAATTCTTAATATATAGATTTAGTTTATAAAGTTTTAAAAAAACTAAAACTATTTTATACTCTATTTCTTTAACTCAAATTAATATATACTTTTATAATTATTTATCTAAATAAACTTATTATTAGAACAAGTAAATCACTCTCCCTTTTATATATATATATATTATGACTATCACTAACATCTTTACGATCCTGGGGACACATGTGTGTCCATATCTTCCCTTCTTGATCTCTTGGAGTAAATTTCGGTATTTGTGTGATCCTAATCGTTTAGCAATTATCATCCTTAATTTGACAGATTTCTCACACTTCTATTTTAAATAAAAATTGAAATATTGAAAAGAAATCACGCATGTAGTCAAGTATCATGAATTTAATAAAAAGAGCGTTCTCGAATCGAGTCTCAAACATATCCCTTCTAGCTGTTGGCACTTACTATACTAAGGACAACTTAATCAATAAGAAATGTAATCTCAACTGACAATGTCTAACGGAAGAAAGTTGATGTTCCATCTATCTTCACGTACCATGTTAAACATACTAATAGTAATGGATGAAAATATATTTCATTACTTCTACGCCCTTTCCCACTCTAAAATAACTATAAATAGCTAACGAAGCTTGACTTACTAATTTCTGGAGTCTGTTAACTAAGGCAGCGTGTAGGTTCTGCTCAACATATGGTTGTCACAGTCGCCACCAAACCCAACCCAACTATTCAAACCAGAGTAAACCTAAAAGTCAGCTACAGTGGTTAATATGCATAAATAAAGGAAGCATTCGCTCTAAGTTCAGACAATAAAAGGGTAGAATATTTATGTGGTATTTTATCAAAAAATGATTTGTGGTTGGACACGTTAATCTTATTTTTACACCATGTAAGAAAAAGAGAAAAAATTTAGGTGCAAAGGCTAATATCATATGTTAGAAAGAGACATAATGAAAAATAATAGATGTTAACGTTGATGGAGTGTATAAAGAAAAATGTTTGACATGTTATTACCGGCCGTTTATCTGATCTTGCAAGTCTTGATGCATGTTCCCACAATTTCTCATAGTAACTCAGCACATTTCAATGGCTATTGGCCTTTCACATAATATGTAATTTGTCACATCACGTGCATGTTGCCCCCACAGCGTTAGCACGAGAAATTAGGAGCTGAACAAGATAATTATTCAGCAGTCAGCAAAATATATAGCATATATATGCACTTTTTCTTGTTCCTTGTTTAGCAGTAAGATATCTTCAGTCCAGAGTACTCTCTGAAATGGAGCATTGCGTTAAGCCATTCAAAATATTGCTGCTGCTGAGGCAGCTAATAATTATTACAGCATGGTTACTGCTATTAATTAGTTTCACAATGTAAGTATAAGTCTCTGAATGCACATGCATGGTTGCAATAATTACCAAGGAAGTACAGGGATACTTACGAGTTACGATTATATATCTTCAGCCTCTTGTAGTTAATTTCATTATAAAAGAGAAAGATGGATGCTCTCAAAATAGTGCATAGGCATGGAAACCGGCCTAGGCCAATTTTCATCATCGAACTCGCCCTCCAAGGAAGACTCAAATCTCCTCCACCTCGCTAAAGATTTTCAATAACGCTCTGAATTAAAGAACTCGTCCAAGTCATGACCACATATATAGAAATCTAAATAATATTAAATATTTCAAACATGTACACCCCCAAGCTATTAAATGTCGGTTATAGGACTCACTTACAAGAACAATGCATAAAG